TTGTTGTTCTTGGCAACCACAGCAATATGGAAAAGGATGGGAAACACTCCAATCCAGGGAAGTTAAGGGGCTTGCGTGGGATCCCAAGGTAATGGAAGTGGCAGGACCAGAATCCCTGCTCCTTTTCTTCTCTCCATCTCACTGCCCGTGACTTCTGAAGACTGTCTCCAGGCAGTCAGAGTCTACCTCCTCCCTGATGGGACTGCCTCTGCTACTGATGGTCGCCTCGGTGGAGGGCAGAACTCAGGCATTGCAGAGAGCAGAGTGTGCTAATGCGGCGGGTCCCTTGCCCTGCCACGCGTCTCACCGCAGCTAATGAATTGCTAATACAATTTTCTAGATAATTTTATTTCCATAGCCCCACATTTTAATGTGTTTCCAAAAGCTAGCATTTATTTGCTTAATCTCCCAGTGTAATAGAATCGGCCCTGACTCATCATACGTGCAAACAATCAGCTAGGCAGAAACGACAGCAAATTGTTTAATAACTCACATCTAGTCTTTAGATTTTTAACTTGGCATGCACCAGTAGTTTTTCTTGTGTCTCATTCGCTCTTCAGCCTTTTTCTGATTTTCTTTTTCTTTCCTTCTTTTTTTTTGAAGTCCTTTTCTTTGACTGCGAATGTTGGTTTTCAAGCAGAAGAGTGGGAAAAGTAGACACAAACCCTCTAAACCGTCTTCTTGCCCTGAGTCTTGGTTGGTGGTTAAGTGGCCAAGGAGGGAGCTTACTTACGCTTGTGTGAGAGCCTAGGAAGGAGAGAGAGAGAGACAACTGGGGTCATAATAATATTTCTTCTTAACTAATAATCATGGAACCTTAAGCCTGTCAATGGTGTGCAGAGATGGCCATTTGGAATTTTTTCACGGGTGCTGCTTTTCCCGACCAGACCACAGTTCCAATCAGGGTGCTCTCTTCCTGTCCACAAAGCCTTGGACATCATCTGGTCTTCACCTTTCTGGAGCAACACAAAGGCTATTAATCTCTCCTTGCTTCTAGCCACCTGGAACCCTCCACACCTTTGCCACCTACAGAGGCCCTGCCCATCAGGCTGTTGGACACTTGTACCTGTCTTTGGGCCCTTTGAGTTGCTGTAACATATGATTGTAGAGTGGAGGATTTATATCTAGAAAATAATGTCTCACAGACCTGAAGGCTGGGCAGTCTGAAATAGGGATCCCAGCATGGCTGGGTTCCCAGAAGGCCCCTCTTCCTAGTTGCAGACTGCAGACTTCTGTGTCCTGTGTTCTGACTGTGAGAAGGGACCCTCTTTATAAGGACAGTAATAGTGTTGAAGAGGGTACCACTTCTGTAATCAGACTTGGTGAAGCCCCACCTGCTGATACCCCCACTTAGAGGACAATGATTTTAACATACTCACTTTGGGACTGGGAGAGGGGACACACATATCTAGACCTTTGGCCTCCTCCAGTCCTTCTATGGCCCCGTTTTTGCCTAGGATGGCATCCGGGCTGACCCTCCTGGTACATCTGGTCCTCTGTGATCTGACCTCCCTGGTTTTGAAGACTTCTCTCCATCCTCTATGCTACCTGCTCTGAAATCCGTCTGTGGTGTTTCTTTAGCCAGGGATGGGTGCCCCGTTTCCTACCTTGGCTTCTCAGATAGCATTCCGTTTCTCAGAGCAGAACTCACAGTCTCCCCTGAGGCTCTCGTGGATTCACCCTGAACTTGTCCGTGCTCTGGGTGGTCTTTCTGGACCAGTGCCCTCCACCCCTAGGCCTGGTACCCAGATTCCCTGCCTCATCCCAGCCTGTTCGTGATCACCAGGGAATGAGACAGGAGAATGGACACAGGTGGAGGTGACCCAGTAGAGCAGCTTCAAAGCATCTTAAGGACAGCAAGGGGACCGAATGCCCCAGGAAACTCAGTCTACTCTGCTAGGTAGCACCTTTTGGGGTATCCTCCTGGGGTACCATTCATTCACCTCCCATCCTGGGGATATAAGAACAAGACGTTTTGACTGGTAAAAGGCATGGCTGTTTAGGAAGCCTGCTCTCTCAGGCTGATTTAAGGCAGCTGTTTGAACACCTGGCTTCATTGGGGCTTTCTGTGGGGTAGAGTTCAGGGTAAAGAGGGTGCAGGTGCTGGGAACCCTCAGCTTGAAGAAGCTCGGACGGCTGTGCTGTGTGTTAGAATGTGTTGTGGACGGCCTCTGTTTGCTTACCAGGCTTGACAGGGCACTGAGGGACACAGTGTCACTGCTCCCAGTGGCTTGAAGGACACAGTGTCAGTGCTCACAGTGGCTTCTGCCCAAGCAAACTGTTTCTTTCAGCGCATTGTCCTCCATCCCATGGGGCTGAGGACTTGAGATCTCTCCCAGAGATCTTACTGACTCCTTCCTGTTGGGCTTGGGTTTGGGAGGCTTCCGAGATCTGTGCCTGTGACCAGCTGTCTGTGCTCCCACCATTGCTGGAGTGCTCCTTGCATGCTTGGTGCTTGCTCTTTATTGCCTTGACTGCATCTCTTCTGGGGGAAGCCGAGACCGACAGGTGTCTCTAGTCCAGAGGTAAGATGGCGTTCAGAGGCTAGGGAGGTAGGTCCGTGGGTAAAGTGGTTGATGTGCGAGCATGAGGATCTGCATTTGGATGCCCCTCACCCACATAACAGCTAGGCATGGCTGTGCATGCCTGTAATCCCAACCCAGGCCCATGGCTCTCTGGCCAGTTAGCCTAGCCAAAACTGTTCAATGAAAGACTCTGTCTTCATGAAGTAAGATAGAGAGCCATAGAGGTTGTTCAGTGAGAGATCCTGTCTTGATGAAATAGATGTAGAGCCATCCTGGTGTCAACCTCTGGCCTCCAAACACCACCCCACCCCCATACACCAGGTCTGCTTTTCCAAAAGGTACATCGCAATGCACGCGCGTGCGCGCACACACCACACACACACACACACACAGGACTAGTGCACGCCCACACACTAAAAAATAAAAACAGAGATTTCAATCTGTGATTTCTGGAATCAAACAGACCAAGACATTTCTAGATTCCCGGTTCTGCCTCTTTCTCACTGTGTGACCTTAGGCAAGCTATTTAATCTCTGTTTTTCTCTTCGTGAGAAGGTGGCTATGAATGCTCGCCCTGTAGGGATGAACGTGTTAAATAAGATAGCGGCACAGATAAAGCACCCAGCTAAGATGGCCTTTATTAGCCCTCCATCCATCCTGCTCTCAGAGATTTGGACGACATCTTCTTCCCCCACGCAGCCCTCCTAGTTATTGGGAGATAACTGGATATCTGCATGGCTGCAGATGCCTAGACTTCAGTGTCTGCAAAGAGAGCGCACATGGGTGGGTAATAGTGAGAAGAGAGAGGATGGTGGGCCAGTGGTGACCCCTGCCTTTTATTGCAAACTGAGCCATGTATGGTCCTGAGGAGGCAAGAACCAGCCCTCCAGCTTGCTGTCACCATTTCCAGTCAGGGAGACAGCAAGGCTCTTCATCGTCCCCTCCCTTCCCCTCTCGCCTGCCCCTGGAAGCTTCCTCATATCACCCCGAAGAGCCCACGATTTTCAGGAGTCCAAGTGCTCTGGTACTCTCTCCGTTTTGGACTAGACTGACAGACCTGACCCCCTTTTCTGTTTATGTCCCTCACACAAGGGACAGCATTGTGGGACTGAGCACAGGCAATGCTGCCTGGACATGGGCAGAGAGACAAGCAGATGGGCTTGTGTCAGGACTAATGTCTTGGGGAGATAAAGTCCAAAATGGCAAACAAGGAGCTATGAACTCGGCTGGAAGAAGACTCAAGGAGTCTCAGCTGGAAGGCTATGGATCTGGTGTGGCGTCAGAAAAGGGTTGATGAAGAGAAAATAGCAATCCACCTTTGTGGGGTTGAGTGGGGCACCTGGTCTGCTGGGCCAGCGAATGGTGGGGCAGAATGAATATCTCCTGTGAGTCCCTAGGTTGAAATCCTTTGGCCACTTCCCATTGGTCTTACGATGAAACCCGGAGCTGTGGCATGACTGGTTGGGCTACATGATCTGGCTCTCAGCTCCTCTTCAACCCCCTTCTCGCCCTTCTTCCTGCTTCCACAGTTAGGACTGGTCATTCTACTCCACTTGGTTTTGCCACCCCTGAGTGTTCACAGAGTCCATCCATCCTCTTGAATGTCCTCTTGAACACTGTGTGCCGGGTGGTATTGAAATTAGAGCAGGTCCCAGTATGTGTTCCCATCGTTCCATTTCCAGAACCTCATTTAAAGAAAGCCTTCCTTGTGGAAAGTATCACGATAGTATTTGTGGAATGAAGTGGCTCTCAGGATTCCTGATTTTCAAAATGGGAAAGTGGTTACAAGAGTGTCTGCCAGCCATGGCGACACACACCTTTAATCCCAGCACTCGGGAGGCAGAGGCAGGAGGATCTGAGTCTGAGGTCAGCCTGGTCTACAGAGCGAGTTCCAGGACATCCAGGGCTACACAGAGAAGCCTTGTCTTAAAAACAAAGGAAATAAGGAAGGGAGGGAGGGAAGAGGAAAAGAAAAGGACAGAACAGAAAATGTGGTCTCCAGCTAAGCTCAGGAAATGAATGAATGAATCCCAGCTATGAACTCCATGGAGATTGGCGTGAGTTGGTCTCCTGTGCTTCCCTCCTCAAGAGAGTTATATTAACAACAGTGGTTAGTCCATAGGATCCAGGTCATTGTTGGTTTTCACAGGTTCTACCCATCTTCCCACCGTTGCCTCAAACTCTGTAAATTCCCTGTGATTATAGGCCCCCAGTCACCCACTTTCTCCTGGAGTGGACTCAAAACACTTGCAGAAATGCATTTGACTGTTCCTGTGGGTTTATGCCTTTCTCCACTAATCTTTAGGTCTCATGGAGACTGGACACCACTTAGCTACATTCAGGGTACCCAGTCCACATTGCATGGCCTGGGATGCTCCTGAGTTTGACCTTATGTGTGTGGGGAGGGGGATAGGATTTCTAGTCTGGCCTTGGATCTCCATCTTGCTGACTCTCTCCCGCTGCTGTCTCCCACAGGCACGGACATGGCTGTTTTCTGTCTCCTGTGTGGGAAGCGCTTCCAGGCCCAGAGCGCGCTCCAGCAGCACATGGAGGTCCACGCGGGCGTGCGCAGCTATATCTGCAGCGAATGCAACCGCACCTTTCCCAGCCACACAGCTCTCAAGCGCCACCTTCGCTCACACACAGGTAGGCTGGTCCCAGGGGGTGCGTGGGGACATTTCCAGATCTTCTATCAGGGCTTAACCGCCAAAAATATATGGTGTGTGTTGGGGAGGGAGGTTCTCAGCCTTTCTCTGCTTGAAGTTGTACATAGAAGAGCTCCTATAGAGTGTTTGAATGTTGACAGTTCTCCCAGTCCACCACCCACCGCACACCTGTTTCCAGTCTTTCCATACACAGCGCAGAAAAGAGTCATTAAAAAACAACAACAACAAAAAAAAAAAAACACCATACTCTTGAGTTCTACTCTCAGAAACTTTGGTCCTGGGTGGGCTCTAGATCGCAACACCACTAATAAGGATTCCTAAGGGCTTCTGATGCGATGGGGAGGGGTGTACTAAAGTGAATTTTGAGAATAACTGACCTAACTCGATTACAATCCCACCACTGGCCCAATCCATCCAAGAATAGCACGGAAGTCAGCTCAGGGCTCCAGAGGGCACACTGAAGAACTCATCCTGCCTTCACCACAGAGACAGGAGGCTTCTGCCTTGGCCTTAATGCGGTCTAGGGAAGACAATGAGAGCATTTGAGCAGTGAGCCATGAGATAGCCCTGCTTGGCCAGTTCACACGATGGCGATGGCGTGAAGGATGGGGTATGTGTGAGTCAAGGAGGCGGGGCTACTTGCCTAAGTCCTGGCCTATCCCTGCCACTACTCTCTAGCTTTAGGGGACAGGACACCCAGTGTCAGAGGGCCTTGAAGGAACCCTTGGTCTTTTCCTAGCAGAGGAATCAATGACTTAATTCCTTTCTCTGCCCTAAAGCAAAATGAGATCATCTTGTATGTCCCTTGGTGAAAGAATGCCAGTTTCTGAATTGTATGTCTCTGTGTGTGTATGTTACTGATCTGTTTTTTTTTTGGGGGGGGGGGCGGGGGTGGGAGCTGGGATTAAATCTCTAAGGTTGTAGCAGGGTGCATAAACAGGCCTGCTAGAGAAGGCGTAAATGTCCCGCATGCTTCATAGAGGGCCAGAAGAATTTCTCATTCTTCCGAGCCTCTTCATAACTTACGGATGGAATATGTGCCTGGTCCTTACAGGGGTGGCAGGCTCTGATGAGTAAGGAAGTTTTACTCTCGGGCTGAGCTGGACTGTCTTGCCAGTTGTAGGCATTCTCACCAAGAAACCTTATTTGGCTCTGAGTTCTGGATCCCATCCTAGTCAGAGGAGCACAATGCCGTATCATTACCAAATGTGAATGGCTCACCAGATGCTTAGGACTGCCGAAGGCTGCTCAGTAGAAAGGAGGAGGTCTTAGCGGCCAAGGTCCAGCAAAGAGAAAGGGATGTGTGCTCAAGGACCTTCTCTACAGTGTCCGCAGAGGGATCTCCCAGTAAGATGTAGACACCATCTGCCAATGTCTTCCTCAATCTCCCTCAATAGGTCCCCAAGTTCAGTCTTCTGGAAGATGGTTAGCCTCCATTAGCCACTTCCAGGTATGCCGCTGGGCCAAGTCCCTTGACTTCATGTGCCACGATGATTCGGGCCCTACTGAGTCCACCCAGGATGTAATTTACATTGCCCATGCCACCTTCTCAGAGTTCAGTTAGCCCATGTCAGCCCTGCTCTACCCTGTCAGCCATGCTTCAGATCCCCAGCAAGGACAGGGTTTGGGAGAAACCCTTGCTTATTCTAGAAACACAGACGTGTGTGCCCCTTGCACACGCACATTCAGGCACCCATTGATTTTCACACCAGCTCGGCACAGGCTCTGCACACCCCCGACACAATGCCTCATTAATATTCTGTTGTTCTTGGCCCATTTGCTGCTGGGGCCGGTGTTTAGCATCAGCAGCTGTGTTTGGTGCGTTAGTCCAGCCGTGCTCTTGGCATTGATGGATCCTTGATTCACATGGCTCATCATATAATAAACTCTCAGCTGCACTGAAGGGAGGGGCCAAGAGGAAGGGCTCTGCGGAGCCCAGGGGCTGGGACGGGGGTGGGAAGGATGACACTGGGCTTGGCCGGAGCTGAGAAAGCCACTAGGTAATGACAAACTGGGGAAGAAGGAGGGTCACAGGTGCCTTGGGCAGGCCAGAGGGGCTCTAATTAGTCTCGTTTGTCCTGCACTTAATGTCAAGCTCATTAACACGTCTACAGAGTTAATCAACATACCACAAATTGGATTTTGACTTCTGTCGCCAGTTCTATGTACATTATGGCCAGCCTGGCCTGACGCGATTAGTTCTCAGGGCGAGGGCTGTAGGCTCGGTGGTCACTGAGCTGTGAAACCCGGGTGGGGTGAGGGTGGGTATGTGTCTTTGGTGACTTGTCATTTTTTTTCCTCCCTCTCATTCCCTGAATGCTTTTTATTCTTTCCCTGGGAAGACTCAAGAGAGTTCCTATTTAAACCCATTTAACATGTGATCCACTTCGTAATTAAATTCATAAAAATCTGATCAAACAAGCCCCTCTGCTGTTTGTTAAACTCTTAGGGCCCCCCTCTGGAAGCAAGAAGCACACACAGGCAGTCAGCCAGCCCTCCCTCACTGATGCCCCTCTTCCTGTGCGGAGGTTTGGGGGGGAGGCTGGGTGACTGCCGATGTACGTTTTAATTACCGGCTTCAGCTGAAGTCTCATGTGGCCCTTGCTTTATTTATTTATTTATATCTTAATGAGGATACTGAATCTTTGATTAAAGTCGTAATCGTTGCCGATTCAGGAAGGAGGGGGAGCTGGATGTCAGACCAGACAGGGCCACGTGTGCAGACAGAGAGAGAGAGAGAGAGAGAGAGAGAGAGAGAGAGAGAGAGAGAGAGTCAGTCTCATGCATAAACTTCCCCTACTATGGTAGACCCATAGCCAATTAGTACCTGTGTTATTGAAGGCTAGCTTCTTCTTGGGTTTTGACAGGACTGGGAACTGTTCCTTGGTATTGGTATAGGTCCAGTAGTGAGAGACAAGGGTTAGTTTACCCAGTCCAAATTCCAGGACTCAGTCCATCTCTAGATCACTGGCCAGCCAGGCCCCTGGGCCAGGACACTGCCCCTTAGATGATGAGGATAGAGGTGGTTCTTTGTGCTTCTTTGATGGAGACCCACCCACTCCCTATGCCCTCGGTGCTTCTTGTACATCTTTCACCCTCTGAGAGAGTCGGCCAACGAACAGGCCCCAGCAACCACTCCCCAGAGTCCCAGAAACTGTTCCGAGTCATCAGAGGAGGTGAGCATTTATGTGGGTGCAGGGGCCTGCATTCGGGAAGTGGGATGTTTGGTTATCAGCCCACGGACGGGAGAAGGCAGAGAGAGTAAAATACCCTTTTAAAGAGGAAGTGAAGGCACAGGCCTGCGAGTCTATAAGGAGAAGGACAATTTATGCCCAGGCACGAGCACAGTTTGACATGGGGATAATGAAAAAACGTAGGTCATTGTGGATGACTTAAGCCTTCAGCGGCTGAAGAGAATGTATGAAATGCAGAGGACATTACACGGTTGGCAGCCCCGCACATCTGCAGAGGAGCAAGTGAAATACAGTGGGCCATTCTTTACCATAAACTGTGGTTGTTGGAGATGCAGCCCAGAGAGATTGTAATTACAGTGACAAGACGAATCAGCGATATTTAAATATTCATGAACGAAGTCTGGGGTGATCAATCTATCTTTATTGTCTGCGCCTTCACTCCTGTAATGAATAAGTAGCTCAAGTCCTCACCTTTCATCCCCCAAGCTTGGCACCTCAGTTACAAAAATGCAAGGTGGTTAACCCTACACCCTACCTCCCCCCAGTCCACAGAGACTGAAGAGTAGAGTGTCCCGCGGAGAGAATGGTAAGTTAATGGGCATAATTCTAGACTCAGGAAGGGCTGTTCTTCCCAGCCCAGTACCCAGAATTCTCCAAGAGTTGGTTCTGAGTTATTCCGGGGAAAGCACTGAGGGGATAAGGGTGGGCAAGTCTTCTTGGTGCCCCCGTTAGTCAGTACGATACAGTTTGTCATTTAGCCATGTGGCAAGTGACCAGTGTCCAGTCCCTGGGATGAGACCATAGCCTGAGTTCCAGTCTAGCTACTTCTAGCTAGGTGACCTTGGGACAGTGGTTAAATATCTCTAAGCAACCCTCTATCCCCCCTTCTTTGTGAGATAAGCGTATTTTTCATCAGATAGTTTCCATGACCACGTGACATGATCTCCATGAGGTCCTCAGTATAGTGGTAAGAATACGGCAAATATGGGCCATTTAAATGGGAAAGAATTCTTTAATTTTTTTAAATCGTATTATTTTTCTATGAATAAAGGACTAAAAGCGTTCAATATTCTTGTCTTCGGAGACAGAGAAGGCAGAGTAGCTTAGTCTGCATGGAGAACTGAAGGGGAGCATCCAGATGGCGGTGATGGATGAGCTGGACTCTGAAGGACGGCTAGGGGTTCACCAGGGAACGATGTGGAAACGAGGCAGCAGGAATAGTGGTTAACTGGTGGAGTAGGAGAAGGAGCAGATGACATTTGGGGAACAGGAGAGGTTCTCTGAGTTGGAGGGATCGTTTTGAGGGTGGGGAAGCTAGGCTGGAGCGGCCCTTGGCTCTGAGCTGGAGGAAAGGGAGAAGAAACCAGAAGTGTGAGTTAAGTCTGAAAGCTGGCTCCGTTCCACCCTCACGGGACACTGCTTTCTGAGGGTTGCAGCTCAGCTCTTTGCTGAGCCAGGCAGGCTTTCTTTTCCTGAGACTGGCTGTTATCCCACAAATGACTGTGGGGCCAAGTAAAATCCGGGTGTGAACACAGGAACCGCTCACTTTTCACGTGGTGGGGACTAGCCAAATCACCTTTGAAGGTAGTGAGCACAGGCAATCTCAGGACATTGAGTGTACCCTGCTGTCCCTGAAACAGAGGCAGGAGGAAGCAAGGATCTGAGTCAGCCCCTTGTCCTCACAGGTGACCACCCGTATGAGTGTGAGTTCTGTGGCAGCTGCTTCCGGGATGAGAGCACACTCAAGAGCCACAAGCGCATCCACACCGGGGAGAAGCCCTATGAGTGCAATGGCTGTGGCAAGAAATTCAGCCTCAAGCACCAGCTGGAAACGCACTACAGGGTTCACACAGGTACCGAGGGTCAGGAATGGGCCCCAGGCTGGCTCTGGGACCTGGGTGGTGACTGGAAGTGGGTGGTTTTGAGAGAAGAAGCCCGGGTAAACATGGTTCAGGGTTCAACCAGAGAGAAAAGGGATAACATGGAGATGGGAGCGAAGGCGCCATGGTTTAAGAGTGCTTCCTGTTCTTCCAGAGGACCAGAGTTTGGTTCCCAGAACCCTCTGCTTGCCTCAGGGCACTACATTCATGTGCATACATGCACACAGGCACACAAATAAAAATATTGTTTTTTTAAAAAAAGAGATAATATCATGGTCTGGGTACCATGACCCTCCTCTCAAGGCCAAGGCAGGCATTACTAATCAGGCATGGCAGATAAGAGTAATCAATTGCAGCAGGTGTCTCAAGGGCATGGGCAGTCCCCTGAAGTAATCACACCAAAAAGTTGTCCAGGAGTGCTAGGCAATATGATGCTTATTCCAGATCCTAAATTAAGATTAATTTGGCCAGATTAGTGAAAAGTGAAATTTGAGTGGTTTCATTTTGTTCCATTCATGATTGGAGGCAGAATTAGAGGGCATTAGGTTATGATGAGGGTCAGAAATTGTGACATTGGTTCTGGTCTGTTCTGAAAAGAAAGGAACCCATGTCTCTAACAGGAGAATCCCCATTCCTTTCCACATAGAATAAATGTGAGCTTCATTTCCACTGGGGTCTCAGGACAGACAGACAGACAGACATACAGGGTTTAGAGTTGGAGGCAGCTAGAGCTGGCATCTGTTTAACTGGAAAACTTATTTCTTCCCCCATTTCAAGTTCAATGACATCACCTTGGTTGCTTAAAAGAGGCCCCAGTGGGAGTATTGACCGCATAGCAATAGAGCTATGTGTCTTTGGAGAGCTGGCTGTTAAATACCCACCCCCTGCAGTCTGCCAGCTGAGGGGACGTAGCATTTCCTGTGAGGCTGAGGGTGCAACAGAGAAAGGAAATGCCCTTCCTGATCAGCGGGGACAGCACCCAATCCAGAGGAAGGCATGGTGACCTCAGCTAGCTTAAGGGAGGGCATAGCCTGGTAGGGGTGGGCAACCAGCAGAAGGCAGAGCTGTTCTCAGGACTCTGTCTTCTCTCCTGAGCTCTGCTTTTCTTGCCCCTAGCTCAAAGCCACAGGAGGGGAGGGGATGTTCATTGCTGACAACATCTGTAACCCAGGGAATATCCCAGAGTCCCGGTGTTTCCTCAGTCCCTTGTTGTGGGATGTGACCTAGTGGGCAGATCATTAAATGCATTGGCAGTGACTATTGTAAATAGCTGGTCGATAGTTAGATCACTTCGGCTGTTCATTACTTCATTATTTGCCGGGGCCTCAGCACGGAGGAGTATCGATGGCTAGATGGCTGACCAGTTAATTACTGTATTGAAACAAGGTTCCCTTACATCTCTGCTCAGCTCCAGGGCACTCTAGTGGAAGGAAGATCTGGAAAGCAGACCAGGGTGTCAGTGTACACTCCTAGGTTCTCTGTAGAGCCACCCTCCCCAGCCCTAGAATGGGAGGTAAAGTCTAGGAGAGGGCTTTAGAGCCTTAGTGGGTAGATGGCTCCAGGTGGGATGTGTTTGAAGGACTGGGCTCCTTGGATTGCCCCTGCCCCTCCCCCTCCTTACTATCTGTAGCTCTGAAAGGACTCCACCCGCTTCCCTGTTTCCTATGGATGAGCTTTGCTATGAAGAAGCATACCGAAGGACTTCAGAGACTTACTACCTCCTTTCTCAGTCCACGTTTCCTTAATTAGAAGGGAAACTCCCTGCCTAAAGATGATGTGACAAGGGCCAGAGCTCCATAGATCATTTCTAGCTGCCAGTTACTAGCCACGTTAGCCAATAGCCATACTATATAACCCTATAACCGTACCATTAGCCCTGTGTGATCAATGGCTACCATGTTGGATGGGAAGTTCTGTTGGAGACTACAAGGCTAGAAGGATGGACATTCTCCAGCCAGCCTAAGGATGACCCATGGCCCTCTCGGTCCTCACATTCCCCTGTCCTGCCTTGTCTCCTCCACAGGTGAGAAGCCCTTCGAGTGCAAACTCTGCCACCAGCGCTCCCGAGACTACTCGGCCATGATCAAGCACCTGAGAACGCACAACGGCGCCTCACCCTATCAGTGCACCATCTGCACAGAGTACTGCCCCAGCCTCTCTTCCATGCAGAAGCACATGAAAGGCCACAAGCCGGAGGAGATCCCCCCAGACTGGAGGATAGAGAAGACGTACCTCTACCTGTGTTATGTGTGAAGCAGGGACCCCCCACATAAGATAGAGAAATGGCGGGAGCCCGCAAAGATGAGCTAGAGCAAGATAAAGTGGAAAGACTGTGCAGAGAAAAGAGGGGGGAATAGAAAAGAGAGAGAGAGAGAGAGAAGGAGAAGGAAACTAAGTAGTTACTTGGCCTTGGATTCCTTCTGGGATTCTAGGCCATCTGGCTGTCATACCGCTGCCCCTTCCTTGGGGTTTCTACCCAACTTGGTTCTCTTGGGTGGGTGGGGTGGTTTTGCTCATTCACACAGTGGCATATTTTTCTCCTCTCCGCAACCTAGACCTTCCTTTTTTTGTCCAGATATGGAGCCCAAAAAGCAAGTGCGAGGTCCTCGGGTCAGAGCCACTGCCTCTGCCCTCACTCCTTCCTTCCCCTCCTCGGAAGAGGGCAGGAAGGAAGCAGAGAGGGCCACTGGAGGCCGTGAGAGGTGGTGTCTCTGGTTGACTGCCGCTCAGAGTGGTGGCTCTGGAAGACTGGGGGCAGACTGGGAAGAGAAAGGGCTTCCTCCTCTGCCCAGCCCTGCCTGCTGCCCCTCATGGTCTCCAAGAGCCCCATGGCTCACCTCACCCTTCAGCTCCTTGCACCTGCTTGATGGCTGTCCTCTGGTCACAAGGGGCTCACTCCCTGTGTGGATCTGGGCTGTGTCTTCCTTAGGTCCCTCCTGGGGAAACCTGTGTCAGATTCCAAAACCCCTTCCTTCTTTCCCTTAGCTTTCAGAGAACACAGAACAAAATAAATCCGCACTGAACCCCAGCCAAACCCCCTCATGTGCAAGATCCCTGCTGACCTGCTTTCTGCTTGCAAAAAGGAAACAAAACAAAAACCAACTAAATATATTCCATCCCACCATCCAAACAAGCACACATCACGGCAACCCCACTTTGGCCCCTAGGAGAAGGAATGCCATCATCCTATTGAAAGGTCCCATTGCCAGGAGAAGGAGTGGATACTCTCCTGCAGGTGAACTTTACCTGCCAGAGGGAGGGAATGGATGTCCTGACAGAACATGGTGGGAGGACTAGCCACCGGGCACAGGGTGGAGGGGAGTTGCTATCACAGTGAGGATCTTTTAACCCCAGATCTGGAAATGAGCACTGAATTCCTGGCTCGGTCCCGCAGTCTCCAGGGAGCAGGGAGGAGGAGCCGAATGTGCTTTGGCCTCTTGTTACTTTTGCTTTTAGCACATTGTACTTGAATTACCTCAGTTTTTATTTTTTGTGACCTCATGAGCTTTTTAACCCCCTATCTCTTTTTCCCCCCTTTGGTTGGGTGGGGAGGGTTGTTGGAGGAATGGGGAGAGTGTGTCTTTCTGTTCCAGCAGAAGTTAATAGTTGGCTTTGAATCTGATCTGGTAGAAAACCTCCCCTTCTCTGGCGGGAAGCTGTCAGAAAAAGTGGACCACTCAGGATCTGAATGGAAGGCCAGGAGGGCTGAGGAGGTGGTGGGAATGGAGAGAATGACAATTGGGTGGGTTCTCGGGGCCCCCGTCATGTCACGTACGGGTCATTCTTGGCACCGTCCAGGGCTCAGACTATCAGTGCCCAGCTTTAGGTCAGCCTGAAACACTTTAGAGGAAAGTCCCACTGGTTGTAGAATTATCAGGGCTGTTCAGGCTTGGTGGGGCAGAGGGTGGGCTGTTATTAAGATCTATACAACCACACAGTCCCCTCCTTGTGCTGTTACCACTGCCAAAATTGGTATATTTTCATGGCTGGTATGTATGTGAGGAACGGACCAGCCTGGTTTTTGTTTTTTGTTTGTTTGGGTTTTTTTTTTTGGGGGGGGGGGGGGGGGTTGCTGGGTGGAGGATTGTTTTTCTAAAAGCTACCTCTTCTGTTTGTCCAGTCTTTCGTTCCTTCTGCAGTTCAGCCTCCTCCCACCCTCCAGGCTCCCCACCTTGAATTTTGGAAAGCACATTTGCAGTGATACCTTTTGCTTTGGGATGACCCTCCCTTTCATTTCATGCTTACGTATAACTGTTGCTTTCCTCCTCCTCCTCCTCCTCCTCCTCCTCCTCCTCCTCCTCCTCCTCCTCCTCCTCCTCCTCCTCCTCCTCCTCCTCCTCCTCCTCCTCCTCCTCCTCCTCCTCCTCCTCCTCCTCCTCCTCCTCCTCCTCCTCCTCCTCCTCCTCCTCCTCCTCCTCCTCCTCCTCCTCCTCCTCCTCCTCCTCCTCCTCCTCCTCCTCCTCCTCCTCCTCCTCCTCCTCCTCCTCCTCCTCCTCCTCCTCCTCCTCCTCCTCCTCCTCCTCCTCCTCCTCCTCCTCCTCCTCCTCCTCCTCCTCCTCCTCCTCCTCCTCCTCCTCCTCCTCCTCCTCCTCCTCCTCCTCCTCCTCCTCCTCCTCCTCCTCCTCCTCCTCCTCCTCCTCCTCCTCCTCCTCCTCCTCCTCCTCCTCCTCCTCCTCCTCCTCCTCCTCCTCCTCCTCCTCCTCCTCCTCCTCCTCCTCCTCCTCCTCCTCCTCCTCCTCCTCCTCCTCCTCCTCCTCCTCCTCCTCCTCCTCCTCCTCCTCCTCCTCCTCCTCCTCCTCCTCCTCCTCCTCCTCCTCCTCCTCCTCCTCCTCCTCCTCCTCCTCCTCCTCCTCCTCCTCCTCCTCCTCCTCCTCCTCCTCCTCCTCCTCCTCCTCCTCCTCCTCCTCCTCCTCCTCCTCCTCCTCCTCCTCCTCCTCCTCCTCCTCCTCCTCCTCCTCCTCCTCCTCCTCCTCCTCCTCCTCCTCCTCCTCCTCCTCCTCCTCCTCCTCCTCCTCCTCCTCCTCCTCCTCCTCCTCCTCCTCCTCCTCCTCCTCCTCCTCCTCCTCCTCCTCCTCCTCGTCTTTCTCTGAGACAGTCATAGCTGTGTTTTGATCTTAGGGTTTAAAAAGTGGTTTAGGGAAGCCGTGGGCAGGGGCAAAGGCCCGTGAAGAACAGCAGAAGGTCCGAGGGATGGGCGCTGCTGTGACCACTCCTTCTGTCCCTCGGCCAAGCCCCTGTCCCTCCCATCTTCCCCTTCAATCTCATCTGCCATATCTGAAGGCCTTAAAAAGTGTGTGTTGGGAGGATGTGGTTTGCGGGTGCTTGCCCCTCCAGTGTGAAGTAGGGATGGTAAAGTACAGGGGGCGCTATTTCGGAACTATAGTTAGTAATGACTTAGTGCTTTGGGGAGGCAAAAAGTTTAAACTTGAAACATGTGACCAGAACCGTTGTCATGTTTATAATGTGAAAAGAGAATCTTTCTAGGGAAGAGCCATCTGTAAAAATCCTTCTGCACTGTGGCTTCCTCCCCCAGACCAGGGGGGTAAAGTGGGAGCTGCTGACCTTTGGGGGCTCTGTAAATCTCAGAAAACAGTATTTTTAGCAGTAAGATGTCATTCAAAATTGGTGGCGTGGGGGGGGGGTTGGCCAACTGTTCCGTAGAACTGACTGGTCCCTTGCTTCCCAGCCCTTCCCACTCAGCCTGCCCCTCCCACCCCTCCTTCTGCCCAATCATAAAAGTTTGAGACGGTTGAGCAGATCTTTGCAAACTGTAATATTTTTGTAGTATTTGTTAGCTCCTTCTTCAGTTCTGCAGGACCTTGCTCTTTCCTTTTGTAATGTGAATAGGAAAAAAATATTTAAAAAGAGAAAAAGTTAAAAAAAAAAGTTCACCACCATCAATAGCAAAATATCCCTTTGTACGTATGTGCATGTGCATATGTGTGTATGTGCTTGTGTTGTGTGTGTGTGTGTGTGCTTGTGTCGTGTCCTGTGTCTGTGTGTGCGCGCGCATGCGCGACTGGAGGTGAATCCATGCTGTGTTGTCTGTGCTGCTGTCTCAGTGTTGGATGGTACTCACTCAGCACCTACCTGCCCTGTCCGTCCCTGAGGATTCTGGGAATCCTAGTGGAGGCAGGGACAGCTTAGAAAGGACACTTTCCTTGTTTCCCTTGCAGCCCGAACCCCAAGATGTTCCAGCATGCCTCTCCTCCAGCTCCCACTCACAAAGAGGAAACAGTTTTCAGGTTGCCAGGGCCTTTTCTGCTGGGCTTGATGGCCACTGGGCAGGTAGGGGGCTGTTGGGAAGCTTTCTGGAGCCCCCACAATTGGGGAAACTAGAAGGACGGCGGCACTTTCCTTCCCAGGGAAGCTGGGATTGTATTTATTCCACTCCTCTTTGAGACTTCTGGTTTGTCATTCTCTGCCTTTGGTAGTATTCTTACCGAACCCCAATACTGCCTTATCTGGCTCTGTGACCTTCTCCCGCCTAGCAAATCCAAGCTGCTCACTGGTCCCTCCCCTTGCCCAGCTTCTACGAATGAATCCTTAACGCGTTTGGTGACCTTGATTCTTCCCTCGGTGTTCCTCTCCTCCTAACTCCTTTATGCATTTAAAGCATTAGAATCCTATGTGTATATGGGATAGACAAATATATATATATATATATAGAAAGAGAGAGATATAGCAAGAGAGATATAAAATAGAAAAATGACATTGCTGCTCGGCTGCTTTACAAGAAGAAGAGGAAGGCAGATCTGGGTACAAGGGTGGGTCGGAAGGCTGGGGGAACCCAGTGATTCAGTACAATCCAGGGATGCTACACGGGCTTATTTAAATCTTTGTGCCTGAACAGATTTTTTTCATGTTTAGAAAAGAAAAAAAAAACTGCTGCAAATTTTTACAAGTGTATGGTACGCTTCCAGATGCAATGGGTGCGACCGGGTGAGAGGGCCAGGGCCCTTTGTTAGAGGGGAGCAAGCAGGAAGCACTTTTGGTCTTGGGCCATTGGGGGGGGGGAGTAGAATGGGTAGACTTTCGGCCAATCCCCTGGCAAGCCAGACTAGGGTGGACACTGGGGACACTGATACGTGAGACAGATGCATAGAGAGCTGGGGTTCTGTTGGTTTATTTTTCCTTCTGCTTGTTTTGCCACCCCTTCCATCCGGTCTCCTTCTCTCCTGGAACTTCCGGCTTGGCTCCTGTGGCTGCAACTTATCTGGAGATGCCCCTGGGGGACTAACGGCAACTCATGAGTGGAGGGGGGGAGAGAGATGCCCAAAAGAAGGGTGCAGGGCAAACAGAATAGATGACATCGGGGAAAGGATGAGGAGAAAGGAGTAGAAGCCCCAGCAAGCCTGCCTGCCTGCCAGCAGCTCTGAGTCCTCGGCTCCTGGGTGGCCCACTTTGCAGACAGGGTCCCTCCTCCCCGTGTGTATCATAGTGTTTGTTCACATAGTGTTATGCATGCATCCTTGTAAGGTGAGAACCGTCATGATGCACCATGCCATCGCCCTATATATAAAGATAAATATATATAAATATATGTATGTAAGTTATAGCACTGAGGGCCCCGCGGCCCTGCTGGACCAAGCAAAACTAAGCCTTTTGGTTTGGGTGTTATGTTTTGTTCCTCTTTTTTTTTTTTTTTTTTTTTTTTTTTTTTTTTTGCTTGTCTGATGTAAGAGCACAAGTGCCAGTCCAATTGCTTTGTATCACAAAATAGTGTTTTTTAATTCATCAATGTTCTAGTTAATGTCTACCTCAGCACCTCCTCTTAGCCTAATTCTAGGAGGTTGCCCAATTTTGTTTCTTCAGCTTTCTTGGTTCTTTGTGTTGTTGTACAAATCAATCTCCCCACCCTGGTCTCTTCCTCCTCACTCACCCACCCTCTTTTTCCCCTCAGGTCCTCCTCCCTCCTGTCAGCCCCATCTCTCCCTCCCCTTGCCTCACTTTCCCCCAGTCCAGATTGCCAGTTCTTTCTGTCCACTCGAAGTACGCTCCCCCCCGATTGCCGCTTATCCACACCTGCCTTCGTTTCGTGTAGATTGATGCGTTTCTTTGTAACTTCAGTGTTTCTGACAAGATTTAAGAAAAAAAAAATAAGGAAAAAGACGACTTTCCTGCTGCAGGTTTTTTTCTTCATGTGTCACTAAGTGAAGTTTGTGCCTTCTATAGCAAAGAGAATATTTTTTACATCCTACTAACAGTAGATTTTTTTGTAGTGAACATTTTTTGTATTTTTATTTATAAGTCTCATAAGAAAAATAGCGATGTTCAGTTGTATACCTTGAATCTGCAGTTAGAAGAGAATAAAGTTAATTCAGTTGTCTCTGGCTCCAAGTGTCCTTTTAAAAAAATGTGCCTTTTTTTTTTCTGTCTTGGGTGGGAACACAGCTGGGATTTCTGGCTGGTGATGAAGAGGAAGTTATGTGTTAACATTAAGTCCCGATTTCTCTTGCATTCTTATGATTTGGCGTGTCTATGCATGCATGTGGATATGGGTACCCACATGGACACCTGCTATGATGCACAGTTCTCTCCGTCCACCATATAGGGCCTGGGGATCACACTCAAATCCTCGAGTGGCAAGTTCCTTTGACAGTAAGCCATCTCAGCAATCACACATTCAGCCTTAATTACATACACTTTTATGCTACGTGTGTAAGTCACATATCCAGGGATGTAACACAGGCAATCAGGCCTGGCAGCAAGTGTCTCTACCCATGACGCCATTTTACTGGTCCCCATTCTTGCCTTAAAATCTTTTTTTTTGTTACATTTTATTTATTGTGGGTCTGTATGCACAAATGCCAAGAACATGCATAGAGGTCAGAAGACAACTCTAAAATAGTTGAAGAACTATTTTATTTTGTGTATGAGTGTTTTGTCTGTATGTATGTGTACCATATGTGTGCCTGGTACCTTCTGAGGGGAGAAGAGGACCTCAGATTTCCTGAAACCAAGGTTAGAAATGGTTGTGAGCCATCGTGTGGGTGCTGGGAATCAAACTTGGGTCTTCAGCAAGAGCAACAAGTGCTCTTAACCACTTAGCCATCTATCCCAGCATGCAACTTTTGGGAGTCAATTCTCTGTTTACCATGTGAGTCTTGGGAATTGAGCTCTGACGATCAGGCTTAGCAGCAGGTGCCTTTACCCACAGAGCTCCCTTACCAGCCCAACGGTTACCTTGCTTTTGGGGAGTGGGGTTCAAGAAGCACTGGGATTTCAGGAAGCAGCACTCGCAGAGTTTCAAAGTGTGTGGTGATTGCTCAGGACCATGAACTGGCACTGGTGATCAAACTTCACATCCAGCTCAGATACCAAAGCAGGTTACTTTTCCCAGGTCCAGAGGCGGGGTCTCCAATTG